CTATTACACCATCAAGTTCTTACAGAACAGAGGAGAAAAAAAATTGGAATACAATCTGACCACATTATCGTGGTTTTGGATCCCACCGCCCATTTAGCAATGGCATGAGCAATCGTATTATGAAGTCGATTGGTATGCTGACAGAGTCCGCAGTCTAAATAATCCAAGAGTGCCAATATGTTCGAGAAAATAGCTTCAAAAGGGTGATGTGAATAATTGGCAATTAGCCCTTGCACTATTTCAAGACAATCTGTTGTGACTTGTTGGATCTTTACTCCCATCGTAGAAGCGAAACTTAACCCAAATTGAATGGATAAAGCCTCGGCCAAAGTGGGAGAGAAAGCACCTGATTTATGGGATGCAAAAACCGCTACTACAAGGCCTTCTGAATTTTTTATCCAGCCACCCAAGCCAATTTCAGAGTCTCGTACAGCTGCATCACATTGAAGATAACAACCATTTTCATTCCCTTTTCGTCCCTTCCAGGCCCAATGATCCTTGATGACGCTACCAACAGAAGCAAAGATAGTACAAGCTTGAGCATGATCGTAGTCCTCCACCCATCTGAACCCTTTATCTATCATCATATCAATATCGCTCAAACGACCTCCCTGCAACAATAAATTTCTATCCTGCCACACAAGCCACATAAACATAACAAAAAGCCTTAAATCTGCTTTCTTGCATCCCTCTGAGTTGAGTTGAATGAAGTTTGGTTAGATTGTAATTTAAAAAGTGTACAAAAAATTATATGGCCAATTAAATTCGATTAATTTTCAAATACACTGTTTTATAATATTCTTGAATTGTCTATTAATATGGAGCACTAGTTAATTATTTGGTGGTCCTTCATAATTTTCAGTTGACTTTCACTTTCAAGCCCTTAGTTTATTTGGTTATTCCTTTTAACACTTACAACTCTTATACATTTGGGCCATTGACAATATTAAGTCAGAGAGTTTCAGCTAAACATGAGCAAGAAAGACCTGTCAAGGCGAGTCAATGACTTTTTCTTTACTCATTTTTTTTCCTTGTAAGAAAATATTTGTTACAAATTTTGTATGAAATTATTGAGAATTTTTTATTACTTATTTAATGTTATGATTACATCTATTTTTATTGTTTATTTTGTTTTTTAAATAAGTATTTGAAATAGTTTACATTAATTTTAAGGTAATAATTGCAGGGCAAAGATGGAAGAGGAAATATCAAGAGCAACATTGATCTGGAGAGCTGTCAAATTACCCATGTATACTGTTGCCTTTATACCCCTCACAGTGAGTGTAGATTAGCTAGCAACTCAAAATTTTTTATTCCTTATTTTTTCTTTTTTTCTTTTTATTAATTATTTGTTGGCCAAGAACCAACTATACTAGTAGATATCCTGTGCACATGCACAGATGTACATAAAATATTCTAAGTAATATTTGAGAATTCAATATTAAAATTCTAGATAATGAATAATTAACGATTTTATTATTATGAACAATTGTTTATTATCATTATATAATAATAGTTTGATTATTATTATTATTATTATTATTATTATTATTATTATTATTAAGAAACAATTGTTTATAAGATTCTAAAGTTTTTTGACTATGCTATTAAAACAATTTACTTATTATTTTTAAAGAAATTTTTGCATGAGATACAAAAGAAAAAGATAATATTGATGTTAATATAAATAACTTGAAACAATTGTTTACAATTACGTAATTTATATTTATTGTGAATTATTATTAGTTGGTATTAGCAATAACTATTATATAATATAATAGGAAAAATACATAATTACACTTAATATGATGTATTAATTTGAGAAGTAAAAAATATTAATGTTAAATTTTGTAACCGTAAATGGAGGGAAAAATGTTAGAGGTTTTATTAAATAGGTTTTATTAAATGTTATATGCTAGCAATTATATATATATATATATATATATATACATATATATAGATTTGAAAGCCAAACCAAAGTTTGTACATCAAAATAACCGAACTGGACCGTACAACAATATATAGTCATGTTCGGTTTTTGGTTTTGCCTGTTTTAAAAAGAAAATTGAACTTGCGAAAACTAATAAAACTGAACCACACTGAATCGCACGGTCGGGGTCGATAACGGTTTGGTTTTGCTCAATATCTAGGGCCTCAACTAGTGTTTTCTCAATGTGTACAACCTCAAGGGGTTACTTTGCAATTATAAAATAGTAAGGGCTCGATTTGTTAACAGGTGGGAACTTCAGCTGCATATTTGGAGACAGGCAGTTACTCTATGGACCGTTATTTCATACTCTTGGCTTCTTTTGTTCTTGTCCATCTCTGGGTCAACCTAAGGTTGGGAATAAATTTGCCTTTTTTGCAATGAAATTAATGTATTGAAATCAATGATAGTCTAATGGTAAGACTTGAATTTAATAGAATCGGCTTAGTTTTTTAAACCCATAAAATGCCACATAAAATCCATCACTTAATAATTTCTATTGAAATGCAATTTGCAACGTTCTGAAAATTGGACCGGTCATTGAATTGGTCAAGCTACTGATTCAATGGTTCATAGGTCCAACCCAGTGGTTAAAACGGATGGATCGTTATTTAATTTATTAATATTCTTAAATGTAATATTATTTTATATAATAAAATTTATATACAAAAATATTGTTAACTATATAATTAGATAAATTTAAACATTCAAATACTTAAACTAACTAATAACTAGCTTATATATATACATTATATTTAAATATGTACTGTTTATATTAAAAATATTTTTTATATTTTTAATTAAAAAGAAATTGAACTGGTTCAAACCGGCCAACCAGCCGATGTTGGCCGGTTACTGGGTTATAATGCCTTCGAATATTTACTTTAAACATTCTATTTTTGTTCTTTTTTGTTCACTTCTCGTGCAGCAACGATGTATATGATTATGATACAGGAGCTGATAAGAACAAAAAAGAGTCTGTTGTCAATATAGTTGGCAGGTAATAAGCATATATATTATTTTTCCCTACAAATTCAATAATAAGAGTACGTACCATTTTTTAGATCTTTTGTTGGTTAGCACTATTGCTTTCTAAGATTCAATACTTAAAATTCCATTAGAATCAAATTCCTTTGTCATAACAGTCAGAATTTGATGATTCCAACCACCATTATTTCAACTGTTTATTGTCATGTAAAAATTCATCAGAATGTGCAATTTCATAATCTCAACAATCGGAGGAAAAACAGCCGTTGGATTTATTCAGAATCCAATGAAATTTTCAATAGAAAACTTATAATTATTCTAAAGAAATACTTTTTGTAAGATTTTTTTATAGAAAATTTTCTAAAGGGAAGTTATATAACATTTGTAGCCGGAACGCTATCCATATTATTTCATGGGTACTACTTGTTATCGGTTTTGCCGGCCTCTCTTGGGTGGGATTTGAGGCCAAGAGCCCGCGTGCTATAATATTAATGGCTTCGGCAGTCTTTTGCTTCTACACTTACCAGGTTTAATATTGATGACATTGCATGAAAGTTATCTTTTCCTTCTCGATGAGCCTAACGTTAGACAGTTTTCGATGTCTAAAATCGACTATCTGCAGTGCCCACCGTATCGTTTGGGCTATCAAGGATTGGGAGAGCCCTTATGCTTTGTAACATACGGCCCATTTTCGACCGTTGCTTTCTATTTGCTCCAGAGCAGTTCAAGGTTGTTTATTAAGTAGTTAAAAATTGTTATTAATTATTACAAAATAATTTCATTTTTGACACACTAATGTTATTAATTTCTATGTTCTTTTACAATGTCAGTGAGCTACCTATATCTAGAACAGTTATGAGTGCTGCAATTCTTGTTGGCTTTACTTCATCCTTGATTCTCTTTTGTAGCCATTTTCATCAGGTGATCTCTCTCTCTCTCTCTCTCTCTCTCTCTCTCTCTCTCTC